GTGGGAACTTTGCACCTCGTCATGGCGATGATGTAGTCCGCGACTTCCTGGCAAGCGGTTCTCAAATCAGAGAGTGTGCAGGGCCAGCATGTTGGATTAACCGAAAAGCTGCTTCTGAGCCGACGGCCACTCTCCAAAATCGCCCGAAGGAACAGAAGCCTAACCCGAGCCGAAGCCATGCACCCAGCCCTCGCAGCCCGCACGGCGCTCCGCCGCGGACACTGCCTGTCCTGCTCGTCCATGAGGCAGCGCAGCAACTCTGGCCCTGCCTGCGCTCGGCGCATGAGCTGAAGAGGGTTTTGGAGCGGAGCGGACAATAAGTCTCCGAGACAAGAGGCGGCTTCCTTCTGAAGAACGGCCAGGAATTCTGTGGCCTGCACGGCAGTGGAACCAGGGCTAGAAGCCAGCTACCGAAACATGGCATGAAGCGGATCCCGGCATTGTCGCAACACTCCCAGGCACGCTGCATTCCGGCCTGGTTTAGGCGCCCTTGGTTCAGCAGCTTGGCTTCCAGCGTCCTTGCTTATACACAGCTCAGAATCCCAAGGCAAGTGCAAGCTCAATTGCTTGACTGGCACTCGGGATTCTGTCTCAGCCTTCCTGTCTTCTTGATTTCAGGGTGAGCAGGTTAGCATACGCTTTGACGCTTTGGATCCCCACTATCGACCCTTTGTAGCACTTGTGCCCTGCCAAGTCGCTCGGACAGCAGCTGCAGCACGTATTCGCGCTGCATCTCAAGCAGTCTCTTCCGCTTCCCAGGGCCCAGCTTCCTGGGCTTCCGTGCTCCGGCTCAGTGTGGCCCCCATTTGCACCGAATCAGACTGCGTTCTTGTTTGCTTTCTCTGCTTGCGGGCTCCGCTTCTTCCTCGAAGAAGGCACGCACAGGTGACATCTGGCACACGTAGCCCCGAAGGCGCACCTGATGGATCTCACAAGTTCATGGGAGGCTCGCCCTACGGCCCTACGGAACCTCGGCCACAAGCTGAAAGACAATACCTGCAACTTGGCCCTCCGGCTTTCCATCGCGGGCGAAGTTGATGCATGGTGTGCGGCAGGCCTCTGGGTGGCCCAGGCTGCCGTAGTTCGTCTCGTGGCAGCAGGATGCAAAATAAAAGCACGGCGCAAGATTGCTGCAGTCCTCGCGGTTGCTTTCCGGACCAGACGCAGCCGCAATGCGGTTCAGGCGCCAAAGCTGCTCCCTTCCGGGCAAGGACGCAGAGTTTGATAGGACACGATTTTGCTGCAAGGCAGCGATGAGCAGCCTCTTTGGAGCAAGAGCTTTTTAAAGAATGCCAACAGAACCGGGGCGAACCGGTGCCTGAGCTCCTCCGGCTGCGGCCGTTGCCCGCAGCCGCGGCCCGGGCCCGGCGGCGAGCTGGATGCTCGCGGCGAGCTCTCGTCGCGGTCCTGGCCCCCGCTTCGAGAGGAGACTTCAGAACAAAGCGGGGCGGTTTGGTTGGGAGGCGGTTCTGTTCTGGGCTCGCCGAATGGCGCCGGACATGCTTGCTGTTCCATGCCGCTGCAGCTAGCCAGGGTTGCAACAAGGCGATTCCTGCAAACCCAACT